AATGATAATAACCAGAGGTAAAATAAGAAGAAAAGAAAAGAAACTGGGTTGATAGGGGTAATGGAGCCTTTCACAACTCTCCTGATCTTAAGCACGAGTACTACGAATGCATGTTACTGTAATAGTAAATGAAGGTCTTCACTTCTCAACCGTCGGATCATTGTGAGGGTTATGTAAGAGGTGCGATATACTTGTTCGATGCCATATCGTTCGAAGAGATAATACGTTCTGAGAGCCATGTCATAGTAGTGTCTAGAAATTAGATTTCGAAGGCCAGTAAGTTGATCTCTAGGAGTTGTATCTAAGATCAAGCCCAAATAGAAGGCATAAGCTAAGCTTTTAATTCGGTTTCTTGTCCTAACGGCCCTATTCATTTGGTGAAGCGCAATTATGATCTTCGTATTATTATCTTGGTCATCAGAATAAGGGCACGGGGTAGGAGTTACGAATATGGGATCAAGTGAGGCCAAATCATCCTGGATTCTTTCAAGGGTAGTAAGGTTGGACATTTTTTTTTTTTTAACTTGTTTTGATGTTTTTTTTTTTTTTTTTAGTTGGGTGTTCTGTTTTGATTTTTCTTTCCTTTTATACATTTCGCTCATAATAAGGCTTCATTAATTTTTTGTTAACAGGCATTTTGAGCACTCTTCCACCTAATTCGTGTAATTTGTAGGCACCATTCTGAAGGATCTCATGTACGTAGTATGGCCCTTTCCATTTTGGTTTGAACTTGTGGCTTCGCGTTCCTAATATTCTCGAATTTTCAATGAGAACTTTGTTTTCTATGAAGAGGTCGGGGGTGGCTTTGATCTGTTAATCGTGCCGCTCTTTCTGTTTTTCTTGTGTTTCTAGAATTTGGCGCAGTGCTTGCTCACGAGCTTCAGGTAGATCATGGTCGATCTCATACATCCTTTGAATGACAGTCCTATTGAGCAATTCTGGGGATTCACTAGGATGTGTGGGTAACTTGGCTTTTCTCTATACACCAAGTAAAAAGGCGTTTCGCAAGTAGAGGCTTGTTTTGCCGTTTAATAGGTGAAAAGAATGGGTGAGATTAATAAATCCCAATCTGTTACATTTGTTACTAACCGGGAAATCGCATTACACAGCATTTTGTTGAAACGTTCTACAAGCCCATTAGTTTGTGGGTAATACCGGGTCGAATAGTGGTGCTTGATACTTAAAGCCGCAAGTAATTCATCAATAAGGCAATTTCGAAAATGGGATCCACAATCAGTTAGTATGAAATTTGGGCATCCGTGCCTATATACTATTTCTTCATAGATGAACTTCGCCACTTCTTCTGCCGTTTCTATAGGAATGGCACGCACTTCTAGCCATTTTGTCATATAATCGGTGGCCACTACGATATATCTATTTAATCTGGGCGTTACTGGCAAAGGCCCGACTATATCTATACCTATTTTGTGAAATAAGGCTACCACAGGTATTGGATGTAATAGTTCTTTTGATTTTCTTCCACCTTGTCGTTGACATCGATCGCAAGATTTAACATATTCTCATATATCGTAGTATATTTGCGGCCAAAAATAACAATCGCGGATTTTATTAAACATAATATCTGTTCCAAAGTGCGCACCTAAAGGATGATCGTGGATTTGGGCCAGAATTGGTTCGAGTTCATGGTGTTGAAGGACCTTCAGTAAATTGCCTTGGGTTTTTCAGTCTTTCTTATACAACCTTTCTTCTCTAATGATGAAGAACTTGCTCTGAGTATCTAGTCTCCTACGCTGATTTCTACTATATGATGGTGGATATTGTCTATATTGAACATAGTTTTCCAGTATGTTATACAGTTTTTGATCCATTTTTTTTTTTTAATTACTAAGTGCTGGAGTTGTAGGGTTGAATGCAAGTTGCTTTGGTAAATTCCTGCGATTCTTTTGTATTTTTGGCTCTAACCCTTGGAAATTGGTCCCTACGATGCCGAATTTGTTTGCGCTTGTTCGGTGGTTCCTATTTAATTTAGTTTTGCCAGGACACCAACTACCTGGGCCGGATTGGTTTTAACGTTAGATTTTTGGCTTTAGGGGCCTAAGTTCTGTGAATTTCGGTTATTTTGAGTTTGGATAGGTAATTTTTTTTTTTTTCAATTTATCTTATCATTTTGTATTTGTTTTGATTTTACTACTTTACTTATTCTATTCTAGGTAATAGTCTCAATCCATAGTTACATCGTCGGCCAAAGGTAGAAGCACTCAGGGTTGATCCTGGACATTTCTTCTTCGATGTTGGTATTCCACCAACATTCACTATGACCCATATAGAAATTATGGCCATATCCTGGGTCATATGCTTCATAATCGCTATCCTCGAATTCCAACTCATCATCAGACCATTTCGGTGAATCAATTAAGTATTCATCATTCATATCCATATCATCAAGTTCTGGTGGTAATTGATACCCCTTTTGCGCTGTTAGGGTTAATCCTCCGTAGAATTCGTCGTTCAGTTGTTGTACTAACTCCTACGTTGTCTTTCATTTTCCAGGTATTGCTCAAACTCCTCTTCGTCCCACCGATTGGTCCACATATCGTCCTATGTTTCTTCAGCGTCTGCCCATGAATTTTCATTTTCCTCCTCAATTTTTTCTATGAAATGGGTTTCTGGTATCACGTGAAACACTTCAACCTCTTCTGTATAACCATCGGCCTAACCTTCTGGATTTTGCGGGGGTTTCAAAGTCGTATCCTTTTTATGCGTTCCATCAATATTTCCCATATTAGCTGCTTTTCGGGGAAGGTTAGGTGTACT